AATATCACATCATTAATGACGGGACCCACTACCACCTAATTAGTGGGAGCACTAATTAGTGCTCCCAAGCATTTTTCTTTTCTTTTATTACTAGACAGCTCATTAAAACTATACTGCAGAAGCTCTAATTAGAGCTTTGCAGCAGCTCCGTAAATTAAAAACAGCATAATCCCAATCAGACCCCTAATTGACCGTTTTCTGTTGTTTTCTCTCTCCCTCTCTCTGTCTCGAGTTTTCATTTCATTTGAATTTTGAGCCTTTGATCTTCCACTGGCAAAAGTACAATCTTTGTGTAGGCCCCACAACAATCCCACCCTGCACGTCCTCTCCCCTCTCTAATGACAAGAAAGCATAGTTTGATCAAATCAAAAGCAGAAAAGTTTATACCTTTTGCTTCGTAGGGTTGGTTTTTTGTGCCCTTCTCCTTTGTACCAAATCAAAATTCTATCTCTTTAATCATTTTTCGATAAAGGGGTTATTCCAATCTTGTGCAACATCTCTGCAAAACCCCTTTTCTTGGAAAACCCAGATGACAATCATCATCTGTAAACCATAATTCTGTTCAAAAGCAGGATTTTTTGAAGTGGTTTGCTTCTAGGGTTTTTTTTTGTTGATCCTTAATTCTTGTTGATTCTATGCAAAACCCCTTGTGTAACCACCAGAATGATGATTCTTTGAAGTACGCACTCGGCCATTTTCAACCAAGAATTGGATTCCTTTGAAGGTTTGATTTTTCATGCCCTTTTTTCCTTGATGGGTTTCTTTGTACTTTTTTTTTTTAATCGAGTTTCTTTGTACTTACGTACCGAAAAAAAATTTTACTTACCCAAAAAAAGGGTTTCTTTGTACCAAATCAAAATTCTCCTCCTCTATTGGATTCCTTTGAAGGTTTGATTTTTCATGCCCTTTTTTCCTTGATGGGTTTCTTTGTACTTTTTTTTTTTTGATCGAGCTTCTTTGTACTTACGTACCGAAAAAAATTTTTACTTACCCAAAAAAGGGTTTCTTTGTACCAAATCAAAATTCTCCTCCTCTTTGATCATTGTTTGTTGAAGGGGTTATTCTAATTTTGTGAAACTTCTCTACAAAACCCCTTTTCTTGGAAAACCCAGATGCCAATCATCATCTTTAAAGCATAATTCATTAATTCTGTTCACAGACACGGCTTTTGGGGGTGTTTTGCTTGTAGGGTTTGTTTATTTGATCCTTAATTCTTGTTGGTTCTATGGAAAAATCCTTGTGTGACCCCCAGAACGTTGAATCTACGGAGTACCCACTTGGCCAATTGTCACCAAGAATTGGATTTCTTTGAAGGTTTCTCTTAGGAGTTATGCATTTCAATTTGATTCATTAGGCTGCTCATGTTGCGTCAAAAAATATGGGTTGTGTCCATGGCAAGTGTTGTGGCCGATCCCCAAAATCTTTAGATGGGGATAACAGCGAATTTCAAGATGGGGATAACAGGGAATTTCAAGATTTGGGTAAATATACTTGCCATGGAAAACATATACTTGCAAATAGATCATTAGATTTTGTTCTTGTTCCTTCTAAAAACTTCCGGTTGGAGTATTCAGCCCTCACGCAACGAGGGTACTACCCAGATGCACCTGATAAAGAAAATCAAGATAGTTTCTGTATCAAAAAAAACATTCAAGGCAACCCTAATGTCCATTTCTTTGGTTTGTTTGATGGGCATGGACATTTCGGTACAGAATGTTCGAATTTCGGTAAGAATAGGTTAATTGAAATTCTATCCGGTGACCCGGCATTGTTAGATGATCCTGTTAAAGCTTATAATTCTGCATTTTTATCAACAAATGAGGAACTGCATAAGAGTGACATAGACGATTCGCTGAGTGGTACAACTGCAATTACTGTTCTTGTTATTGGGATAAGCTTTATGTGGCGAATGTGGGTGATTCAAGAGCTGTGATTGCCAGTAAGGATGGGAATCAGGTTATTTCCAAAGATCTGTCTCACGATCAGACACCTTTTCGGGAAGATGAATGTGAGAGGGTGAAGCTTTGTGGGGCCAGGGTTTTGACTGTTGATCAAGTGGAAGGAAATAGCGATCCGAGTATCCAAACATGGGGTGATGAAGAGACTGAAGGTGCTGATCCACCGAGGTTGTGGGTTCAAAATGCGATGTACCCCGGAACTGCATTTACGCGGAGTGTAGGGGATAGTGAAGCAGAGAGGATTGGCGTTATTGCACTTCCTGAGGTTTTAACAGTTCAGCTTACACCTAATCATCTGTTCTTTGTAGTCGCAAGTGATGGCGTTTTCGAGTTCCTCTCAAGCCAAACCGTTGTGGAAATGGTATGTGATTACCCTCAACAACATTCAAAAATGGTATTTTGTTCTTTTGTTATAATTAGTTACTATTTATTGCATACTCTCATCTTTTCTTAATCGTGTGTAGCTTTCCATATTTTTCTGTTCACTTCAATCTTGTTTAGCTGTTGAATTTTGATCAGTTTGTTACTATGGTGATTGAGTCTCTTGTAGAAGCTTATCTCCTTTGTGATATGAATCAAAAAGCTAATCAGCCTTCAATCCTGATTAATATGTTATTTTTGAAAGTTAATTGATATGATAAGGCCCTAAACCAATTGATTGCTTTAAATAGTTTATTTTGACAAGGTACATCAATAGCGGGCACTTGTTATACTTTTTTATCAGATAATTTCCTGAACTTGTGTGTGTTTTTCCTTCCTAGAATTTTGAACTATGGTTTGATGTTTAAATATTTCGCTTGTGACTTATTTTTTATCCATAGTTGCACTCCTTGCTCAATTTTTCTGATTTTTGTTTTTCTGTTTCTGTTTTTCCATTTTTTCCCTTCACCATTTGTTTAGGTCTCAAGATACACAGATCCTCGAGATGCATGTTCTGCTATTGCTGGAGAATCATACAAACAATGGTCACAGCATGAAACTCGGACAGATGATATTACAATCATCATTGTACACATCAAAGAATTGTCTAATGTATGAATCCTTCGCTTGTTAACCTCTTTTTCTAATTCTTTACTGGGCCCCACTCCACAGTAGTGTCTACAAGTAGCAATTGTGATATATGCAATTATCATAATCAGGGGAGACCTATATTTTGTAAGGGCCCTACTCAAGATATCTATGCCAATCGTAGCAGTTTAGAATGAGTAATCTGTGAACGACTAAAATAAAACTTCCTGTTGTAATAGGCAGGTACCAACATCTTTAATGTAAGCGGTGGAGTTAATACCCACCCTGCTGCTCTGAAGTTGGCAAGGGGAGGTTCTGATACATTTTTTACCCCTCCAGGGTCAGAATTTTTCCGATCAGTGAGAAGTGATTTCTCTGATATGCATTCTTTTCAGCATATCTCAACAGATCTGAGCCCGGCAATAGTCACCCCATCTCCTGCACTTCCCAAGCCTTTAACATTGTGAGTTTCTTGAGGTCTGTTTTCTATACATCGTCCCTTGTTTATTATAACCAATTAATTTTTTTATTTTTTTTCTTCATCTCTTTGTAGTGATTGAGCCAGTGAAAGGCATTTAGCAAGTTTCTTAAGTTGTCATGTTTCATTCAGTTTGTAACGGTACTTACTTGCCTTAGTTTTATATTTATTTTGCAAGAGAAGAGAATCAGTAATGAGTGTCTAGAGGCAATTTTGGTATTGTTTGATAACGTTAAAACCATTAAGCATATTTATGTTTATTTTTGGTAAAAACAAAAATAAATAACTTGTTTAAACACCCGTTTTTGGAAACGAGCGAGGAGGGGGTGGCCTGAGGGGGTTGGAGCCTGGAGGAGAACTGGTCTCTCTAGAGGTGGTGGCCGGCTGATGGGGTGGTGGTCAGAGGTGGAGGGGGACTCGCCAGTGGTGGTGATTGGTGGTGGGTGGTGACCAAAGGAGGTGGAGAAGTGAGGAAGGAATGAAAACTTTTTAAAAGCATAGAAACAATTTTTTTATGTTTGTAAATTTTTGAAAATTGTTAATAAATGCATTATTGCAGGTAACCGGAGATCAAAAATTGGTGTATGCTACGGAACAGATGCCATTAGGTCTGCTCGGACAAGATCTTTTTATTTATTGATCACAGTAGCGCATCCCATTTCGCAGGGTAACTCTCTAACTTGTGACAACACTAATCATTATATGCGCAAAAATGGATTAGATTGCTCAGAAGACAGAAGAAATAGTTGCAGCCTTCTAACTCTCAATCCACTTGGTTGCATAGATTACTGTACGAGTGATGTAGACAAAGTAGGAAGGTGAAGTTGTAATTGTATTATTGCATTTGCAAGTGGGAAGAGAACAGGTTTATTAAGATTTAGATGTAAAATTTCTTACTATTTACCGCGGAAATTCCTGAAGTGATAATTTCTCTCGTTCTTTTTCTTGTGCTTTTCTTTTCTTTTCTTTTTTTTTGTAATTCCATTTCCTTCACAGCAAATTATGTTGCCACTGAATGAATTGCTCTTTGCATTTCCTCTTAGCACCCTAAAGTTAAAAAGTAAGGGTGACAGAGGTGCTTTGTGAATGAAGTTTTATCCACCCCTAGCCCTCCATGAGCATGAGCTGGTAGCTGTTTCCTGGAGTCTTGTGAGACCGACAGTAAACCCCGAGGAGGTCTTTTGTTCAAATCTCACTTCCACTGTTTTGTGGGTGCTTGCAAATATCGCAGTCTAAAAAAATGTTTGTGGATGATATATTCAAATTGTTAATACTAAATACAAATGCATTTATAAAAAAATAACAATAACACCCTCAAGTTTTAATTGAATCATGCTTTGGCTCTATCTTTTAATTGCAATAATTAATTTTTTATATTTTAACTTGTGATTATTTCGTAACTTATCATAAAAAAATTTGAACAAAAAGTACTCACGTGTGGGCCTTGTGAGAACATTAAAAAATTGTTATAAATTGGAGTTTTTAATTGTGAGATCAAGTAAAATTTGATTGAAATATGAAAAGTATAATTTTACAAACAAAAAGCGGCAATGATAGGCAATAAACATGTAAAGATCTTATATTTCCTCATTCTGCATAGTAACAGCTCCAACAAATTACAAAGCTCATTAAAAGGATAAAACTCCTTGGCAAAAATACATAATTATACAAAACTTCATGCCTATACGGAATTGTGCACGATTCTCTTGTGAATCGCCTTCACCAAGTTATGGCATTCAGGATCTGAATCCAGGGGGAAAAATTTCTTGTAAATTCAAGATATTCGTTGTTGAACTAAAAAATATCTTCTCCCATGGGCGTTAGCAGATGTTTTTCATTCTTCACTCTGTCCTTGGTAGCCTTTCCAAAGTCAACCTCATTAAAAATAAATCGATAGTTTGTTATCAATCCTGTCCTGCAACATATTACACTGCTCCAACAACTTGCTCAGTTTGTCAGCTTCTCTCGTGGCCACCACTAACCTGCTGCTAGTTTCAGTTGATCCATGCTCTATATAATTGTCATTGTTTGTCTCAGACAAGTTACCATTTTGGGCTGCATTGGTAGCTTGTACAATACTACCATTAGAAACCATTGCCGATGGAGGCTGGAAAGCCTTGTCTTCTGTATGACCCATGCTAGATGCAAAAGAGCCATAGCTAACTTCAACCATTTCATCTAGAGATGGGTGAGTTAAATAATAAGACGAAGATACCATGCCTTGAATCCCCGGCATGTCCAGACCTGTTTTTGAAATATCCGTGTCAAGCTGCTCCAGAATATAAGCAGAAGAGAATGCACCATTGGATAAACTCATTAAGCGCCAATTGAAAACTCGTTGGAAAATCATAACCCACTTCAGAATGATATAGTAGGTTGAGTTATGGAGCTCAAGACGCGCACCCTTTTGTAGCATTACACGTGCCTCATTTGTTGCCAGCGATAGTCCCATCATTTTACTCAACTGGGTAAGGTATCTGATCAAGCAATCTTCAAGTTTTTGTTTCTGCTTTTCAATATCTTCACCCAAATTAGAACCTCTGTAGAGCCAAGATATGTCGTCATGAAATGAAGGAAGTCGACAGTCTCTTAGAGCACAAATAAGCAATTCAATTCTTGCTGACGAGCTCCATCCGATGTCTGGCAGATATAATTTCACCGCTTCATACTCCTTGCTAGTCTTCTCCAGCAAAGCAATCTCAGAACAAGGCCAAGAGGCAGGATTTGCATCTGCTGCAGCAGCAACCTTTCCCACTGTTTGATGCGAGGCTTCGTTAAAGGCCGATATACAGTGGTCCGGACCTACTTCATAATCGCTCATCTCGTCAAGCACCTTCAGCGAAGAATTCAAGTGGGTCAAAGTCAGTTCACGCATATTTACACAACTAACAATAGGTTGTAAGGGTGATTGGCATGCGAGCCACTGCAATCCCCCTCTCAATTGCTCATCACTGAAAAACCCATCAAACTCTTCCAATTGCTGGTTCTTCGCAAGGAAAACAAGCGAAATTTATTTACCCGTGAATTGTCAATGTCATGGAGCCCCAATCGTTCAGCCATGATGGATGAAGAATCTGAATTTTCTTCATACGAGTCTATTACGATTAGAAGGGGTAACTGGGAACCAGAAGGTAAAGACATAAGAAGGTTATGGAGCCGAAACTTTTGGATCTCCAATGAGATGCTTCCAGATACAAGGAAAAGAACTGCATTTGCACCTAATAATATCTCATTCGTATCATCAAGTTTTGCATCCCTGACGATAGACAAACAGCACGTGGTGTCACCACCAGATTGGCTGGGAACCCATTTCTTCCATATTGACAGGCCCGGGGATGAAATTATTACGTCATCATCACCTTTGCTGGTAGGAATGAGCTTAGAATGCAACCAGGAGCCTGCAGTAAAATGAGCAACTTGACTCAATTGTTGCAGCCTGTCGCCATCTGGATTGTCTGTCTGAGAGCATAAAATTATTTTCCAGCAAAAACATTTGGCAGCCGGGTTTCTTTCATTAAGTGTAGCAGCTATCACATCTGAAACATTTAGCCTTGACCATGATCTTTCATGTCTTTCGTATCTTTCATGCATAACACGGTTGATGTTGAACACACCAGAAGTGCTTGGTTGCTTTATAAGAAGAAAAAAGAATTAGAAGCTTCAGCAAAATATTTCAGTTTAAAAAGATCAATAGCAAAATTCTTATGGTCAATGCATAGTTTAATTGTATAGTCATTAATAACAATACTTAAAATAATGAGTCAAAAAGAGGGGGACAACAAGACAAAAGGAGGTATGCCAACAATAATAATACTTACATCAATGTTCTGTCGAATTGGTGGGCCCATCGATAGTGAATTTAACGCGGCCATAGCAGACAACTGCCTTTGTTCACGTAACTCTCTTTTCTTTGATGAACGACGCTTCCATAATCTGACCCAAAAAAATGCAAGAAGAGTGAGATATAGGACAGAAAACACCAGAGTTACAGTCACATCAGTAGAAAGAATTGCAACCTGAAGATCAGTTTGAGTTTTGCCTCAGCAGCGTCCTCATCATGATAACTAGGCTCAACTTCCTCGGTTTCAACATCTTGATAATCTGTATGCTCTTCATCTTCCAAATCTTCGATAAACACTTTCTGAGGGACATAATTTTCCATAGCAGAATCAAATTCAAAACTTGCAATTTTTTCTTGGCCAACTCTTTCCGACATGATTTCCAATGGAACGGCTTTTGTGTCAGAATGTGTTTTTCTCTCCAGAGAGTTTTGGAAGACGGGATCAAAATTTGGTTTCCCCGTGCTTCCAACTCTAGCTTGCTGAGATTTAGGGGAATTATGTGCCAAGGAGAAATCCCGTGCCAAGGGACTTATGGTATCTATCCGAAAGACGTCTTCACTCTGTTGACCAATTACTAATGGTTTGACCATGGGCTTCACTTGTGTTCCATCTTTTGGGGATGGCACGGCTTCATAATCATCCATTTCCTCATCAATGACCTGGGCATGACTTTCTGTCCCATTGAATTGAACAGGTTTTGATTCCTTCTCGTAGACCTTAACCAACTGGACCTCTCTTTCTTCTTCAGCAGGTAATGACACTATTGTATGAGGAGACGAAACATCCTCAACTGTCCTTCGTGACTTTTTCATATGAACAAGTTTCGAACACTTCACTGGATAGTCATTATCACTGTTGAGAAATAGCCCTTCCTTCACCATATATGGCTCTTCAAATTCCTTTATCACAAAGCCATGATACTCCAACAGGTTTTCTATGTTGTCTTCCTGATTTCAGACAATGAAGCATAGATTTAAAGACAGAGAAATTGGAAATTGCTTGGCAGTATGCATCAAGACAAAGAATAAGTACCTCCATTGCAAGCCATTTGGCAACATGTGTGACAGAGATACCTTGATTATTTTGTACACCACAATGTAGAGAAGCAAGTGCTTGGGTTCACAACTGTTCATGATAACATGGCAATGAGACAATTTATTTTAGTCTGCGCAGACATGTGCATGCACAGATAACTTGAGTTGAGTGTAATACCCATCAAAAACATAGAAAAGAGCATGATTCAATAAAATTCACCATATGTAGAAACGTGAGCTTTTACTAACTCCAATACATTATTCACAACACTATGCATAAAGAAAACTCATGCTTTAAATAGAATTGATTATATAAATTCCTATCATAAGCATTAAGATCACAAAGGAACCATTACCCATACCTTTGCAAAGTGAGCATGCATTAGGCATGCTTGGAGGTAACTCGCTTTTCTTGCAAGTCGAAAGAAAGCTATAAAATTACCAGTTCTGCAGGCTCTGGAAGGACAAAAATACTACCCATTATTAGATTCAGTCATATGAAGGTAGTCTTATTCAGTAACTTCATATGCAAGCGGCAAAACAACCTTGCTACATCACGGGCAAATAATATTTCTGGGGTTTGCCTTATCTCCGGTGTCATCTTGGAAAGATCAAGCGAGAGCTCTTGTTAATGTAAATTGTAAATAATAAATCACCACTCCACCTACCACCCACTCCACCTACCACCTCCACTTCACTCCACCTACCACCTACACCTACTACCACATTTTCTTCTATATATATGATCATTGTAAACATAATCAATACATCAATCAATAATACATAAATTCTTACAGCTCTGCAGGTTCAACCTGGCACGGATATCTTTATTTACACGGACAAGAATTGAAACAAAAAAATGTAAAATGGAGTGCCCAATGTTGATGACTTACTTTGTATCCTGGATGTTTGTCCAGCTTGAGAAGCGCGTAATAACCTCGAAATTCTTTCTCTGTTGGCACCTGCATTCCCTTCTTCCTGTGGTCGTCATACAATTGAAACAATTCAACAGAAGTTTTGTTCATCTGTTCAATGTTAAGGTGAGCATCAAATCCCTCCGAAAAGCCTTCTCAGTTTCGCTTCCCCGGCGGGCGGCAGCCTCGCCTTGGCCGCCCGCCGGCCCTCTCATCTTCCAACTAATACAACTCCTCCTCTCTCTTTTTCTCTCGGTGTGCAGGGGAGGGAGAACAACCCCACAACACACAAGCTTCCTCTCTCTTGCTGGCTTTATGTTCAACAGACCCAACACACCATGCCCTGATGCACAACACACATATCACACATACCGCATGTTCGGCTTTGTCGGCATCCCCGTCACCTCCCTCGCCAACCTTTTGAGGCCTTTTTCAACACCCTCGGCTGTGACATCAGTGTAAAAAGCATCCCATGTCCACCAGCCAAACCAGTCTATGACTTCACCACCAATTTGTTGCCAACCGTCATCTATGATAAGGAACCGTGATGGAGTACCTCCTTCAGCCAAAGCAGTCCGCCGGTTACGCCGCCTCCGCCTCCGGCTTCCTCACTGGCCGTCCCGGCATCCTCCTCACCATCTCTGGCCTCGTCTTCCAGCCTGAACTCGTCGTCCAGCCGGAACATCGATTGCTGGAGCAAATCGTCGGCGCAATGGAGACAAGCGGCGACGGGTTTATCTCTGGCCATGGGGGTCCATTCTCGGATGGCCGACACCAACTCGTCAAGAGCCTTGAGATTCTGTTCCAGAGATCTTGGTTCTTCATCACTCAACTTCTCTTGATCTGAGTTTAAAAAAAAAAAAAAACACAGAGCTACCTCTTCGCCGGGATCTGCAGAGGAGGCCACACACTTCGCTTCACAATCCTCGGCTTCCACAGAACTCCGACAGAGGCCTATATGTGATTCATACACACACACCCTGTTTCTCTCATTGATGGTCTCACTTTTTATTTTTTTATTACTATTATTCTTATATCACATGATCCATGCCCTCCTGTTCCCCATTCCACTTTCTTTTCTTTTTTTTATATTTGTTTTAATCCCTCTTTTGCAAAGCCACCGACAGGTTTTAATCCCTCTTTCTTTCCAATTTTTTTTACACATTTGCATCTCACCTTTCCTTTTTTTATTTTATTTTTTTCTTCCTTTCCCATTCCCATCCTTCTCTTCACCTTTATTTTCTTTTCTTTTCAAACCACAAACACCCAAAAAAAAAAACAAAACAACAAAACAAATACCAAACCCATTGCCGGTTTTCACAAAACGGTGGGCCGAGCCACCCACGTGATTATATTCTTATTATTTCTTTCTTTTTTTATTTTTCTTTCACTTTATTTTTCATCTTTTTTTTTCATTATTATTTCTTTGCACAAAAAAAAAAAAAAAAAAAAAAAGCAAAACAAACAAACAAACAAACACAAATCGGCACAGTGGGATTTTTTCTTCTCTACTCTGCCGCCGGTCTCTTCTTCTTGCCTCCGTCCTGGGCGGCCCTTGACAGTGTTGCCTCCGTATTTCCCACTCCACTGGGCACGATCACTCCACCCTGCTCCTCCACTGCAGCATATGGCAGACCTCCAAATCGAAACATAACGGTGGCCTTCCGCTTCAGCTCCTTGTTTTCTGCCCTTAGCACGCTTATCTCTGCTCGCACATCCTTATACATGCGTTGGAGCAGAGCCAGCTGGGAGTTTAACTGCTGCACCTCATTTGCCCTACTCTGCAGCCGGTTCGACAAGTTTGTCACCGCAGTCATGGTTTCCACACATGACTTCAATGTATACTGATTGGCTTCCACATCCGACTGCACTGCCATTCTTTGCTCCACAGACCGCATCGGAAAGTTCAACGGAGCAAACCCTGGGGCGCCTGGTTGAGGTTCAGGGGCCACCGCACCCGTTATCTCTCTTGTTGACTCATTGAGGTCGGGAAAGAGAGTGAGCAGACCAAGGGACGACGAAGCCATTTTCTGGGCAACAGAGTGTTACAGAGTCTCTCTCTCAGAAACGGCAGAATTTTTCGGAGGATTTCGCAGGTTTTTTTTTGCCTCTGCCTTGGCCTCAGGCTCCGTCTTGGTTAAATAGCCGAGGCAGCCACGCGCCTCGCGCGCCTCTTGACGCCCGACAAACTGGCACGCCTTTTCATGGCACATCTTTTGATAAAGTGGGCACGCCTTTTGAGGGCACGACTTTTGAGGGCTCGATATATATCTACATGTATATTTTTTGGGCAGCCTATCTACACACTCATACAGTGTCTTCTACACCGGTTAGCTTTATCAATCCATTTGTTTCAACCTCAAATAGGTTTCTCTCTTCACACCTATTTGAGTTTGAGGGGGGGTAATACACAGTATCATGTATAAGTCACTCATGGCGCACTCCCTAAGTCGCCCCCTTGGTACACCACCACAACCTTATACAACGGTCCGGCATGACCCCATAAACTGTCCCGACATTGATTCCGGTCAGCTTCTACAACGGTCCGACATGACCCCGTAAACTGTCCCTAGTCGCCTAAAAAGGAAGATTATGGGCACAACACGCGGCAATTCCAAAGGAAAAGGAAGTTTTTAGTAGTTGCAGCAATTATGGATCATGGGCAAATTGAAGACATTAGAAGATGCACACGTGGCTGTTTAACATGGCCAGTGAAGCAACATAAACCTGGAAATCCAAAGAAAGAAGGATCTTTAACCAAATTCACAAACACTTGTGAGATTTAGGAGTAACTGAACTTATCATAGAAGTAGTTCTTGTAATTAGGAGTAGTAGCAATTTCAATTCTTGTAACTCATTTTGGACATGTGGATTGTAAAGTTATGATGCTTGTAAACAAGTTTAGGTGATATTAATCGTATTTTCAAATTGTTTATTTCTGTTTATTCACATTACAAATTTCAAAGAAATCCTTAAATCTGTCAAGGTATAAGACATCAACTATGTTAATGTAAATTGTAAATAATAAATCACCACTCCACCTACCACCTCCACTACCACCCACTCCACCTACCACCTCCACTTCACTCCACCTACCACCTACACCTACTACCACATTTTCTTCTATATATATGATCATTGTAAACATAATCAATACATCAATCAATAATACATAAATTCTTACAGCTCTGCAGGTTCAACCTGGCACGGATATCTTTATTTACACGGACAAGAATTGAAACCAAAAAAAGTAAAATGGAGTGCCCAATGTTGATGACTTACTTTGTATCCTGGATGTTTGTCCAGCTTGAGAAGCGCGTAATAACCTCGAAATTCTTTCTCTGTTGGCACCTGCATTCCCTTCTTCCTGTGGTCGTCATACAATTGAAACAATTCAACAGAAGTTTTGTTCATCTGTTCAATGTTAAGGTGAGCATCAAATCCCTCCGAAAAGCCTTCTCCTTTTGTATATTCACATAATTCATGCATGGCTACTATGTGAAGTCTTATCTGAAACCCACAGCAATCAACAATACCATTTAGTTGTCTAAAGAGTTAAGTGGCATTTTAGCAACCAACAAATGTCAATTCAACACAACAAACAACAATTAATACACGAATTGAAGATGAATGAAAATATAAGTAAAAAGGTGCAGTGCGGCTGAACTCAAGAACAAAATGAAGTAACTTAAGCCCATGTCACCAACTATAAGCAATCTGTCAATCTGTGGCAAAGATAAAGGCTACCCTAGTTACTACTAGTAACCCAAATAGCAAAACTTTGAAGAATTCAAAAAATAAAATACACATCAACACACGTATCAACATAGAAATATGGACTACTAGTCATTCAAGAAGAAGACTTTTTTCATCCTACACCTCATCTGACTCAGCGCCATTGAGTGATCATTCTAACATGTGCCAGAATAGTACACACCATGTTGTCAAGAGACCCCAATTTACCTTTGAGAAAAATGAGATTAAATCTATAGGAAAAGGACATACCATTTGCTCCAGCATGGTAATAGCATCAAGGTTAAAAATGTGTTGCATCCTCAGATCCATCCGAATTGCCCTCATCCTATCCCACAAGAAGTTATATAAACCAAGAAACTTGTCATCATAACTTCATAAGGATGGTCTAGCAAATACAGAAGATAATCAATTGTCATCTGCAGGATTGGCATGGGTCTTATCAAGTCTGCTTCCCTCTCTGCTGTCCTAGTATACTGCAAGAATCATATAAGAACACCCATCATACCACCTCTAATAGGATAAATATCTCAATAGTATATATATTTTTCTTTTGCGTACCAAAAGAAAAATAGAGCTTCATAGAGTACCTTCTTAACAGCAAGGGACTTGCTGGTTTGATTTCTATCTCCATCCAAGCGTTCATATTGATCAAGATCCCCTTTCCTCTCTCCCTCTGCTCTTTCAGATTCTGAATACAGAACAGGAATCTGACTCATTATAAGATTATACAAATTTTCAAAACCTTATATACTCTTAGAAGCCTACAACAACACAACAAACTACGCCTTGTGTTCCACTCAAGTGGGGTCACTACAAGAAACCTTTTTCACCACTATCACGGGCTATATACTCAGTTAAATTAATGTACTGTTAGAAGCCTCCACATGAAAAACAAGGACAGCTAGTGGCTTCAACATAGAAGAGAACTAGATGGGACTACTAACTATAAAATTCAGAATAAAGGAATTAGATAAACGATCATATTACAAGAGAGTGAAATAGACTGAATTTCTTAGTTTCAGAATGGAAGTTTTCTCTGTAACAAAGAATGATTCAACAAGACTAATATTCTATGAGGTTTTTTAAATTTTGAAATTGTTACTTTCTTTTTTTATACATGTTGCAACCCCTTGCTGCTCTTTTAAAGCAATTTTATATTTATAAAATAAAAATAAAAACAAAAATAAAAATAAAAGAGAGAGGAGAGAAGTTAGCATTGACTTATGTGTAGTGGAGTAGAGGTAGGTGAAGTGGAGTGTGTAGTGGAGTAGAGGTAGGTGAAGTGGAGTGTGTAGTGGAGTAGAGGTAGGTGAAGTGGAGTGTGTAGTGGAGTAGGTGAAGGTAATGTGGTAGTAGGTGTAGTGGAGGTGATAGTGGGTTAGGTGAAGTGGAGTGTGTGGTGAAGTGGAGGTAGGTGAAGTGGAGTGTGTAGTGGAGTAGGTGAAGGTAAAGATAAAATGTGGTAGTAGGTGTAGTGGAGGTGATAGTGGGTTAGGTGAAGTGGAGTGTGTGGTGAAGTGGAGGTAGGTGAAGTGGAGTGTGTAGTGGAGTAGGTGAAGGTAAAGATGAGAAATTCTAACAGGAGGTGATCTAGTTCTTTTGGGAACTGGAAAGTTGGTGGGCTTAGTTGAAGCAGTTTTATCATCAATAGTTCGTGCAGATGGCAGGGGCATATAAGGAGTTTCGGAATCAGGAGCTTTGGAAAGATTATTTGATCTTGTGCCCAATCTAGGAGGTGATGGAGAAGGCCTGAACAAGGAAAATCCACAATTTATTTATCTGAGGTTGGGGGCAGGAGAGAGAATTGCAAAAATCATCATCCAAAAGAGACGCAATAAAGAGGACAAATAATATACTCTTTATCTCCTAGAGTCCTAGGAGCTCTCTTTCATCAATTTTCATTTCCACAATTCATCAAGAAATTCCATATACCAAGATCTCAAATGAAAAATCTTTAACTAAATAAGTGTTCTTCTCTCTCTGCTTGGTGGGGGTAAGGGTGTTGAGGATTAATAATGCCATATTTTCATCAACTTGAAATTATAAAGTTGAATAGATTCCATTGATATTTCTTAAGAATTTAAAATTGTGTAGAAATTTAATGTATAAAGAGAAAAGAGAATTGTATTATTGATTGATGTTTGTAATTGTTGAAAAATTGAATGCTACAATGATTCCTATATATAGAAGAGTAGGTGGTAGTAGGTGGTAGGTGGAGTAGGTGAAGTGGAGGTGGTAGTGGTGTAGTGGGTTTAGTGGAGTAGGTGAGGTGGTAGTGGTGTAGTGGGTTAGGTTTAGTGGGTGAAGTAGGTGATAGGTTTTAACAAATTGCTTTCATCACAATTGGGGAATATCATCTTTGAATCATATTGAGTCGCAAAGGGTAATTATATTTTTTCTTTCATTGCTTGAGTCTTTATTGAGTTAATGATGTTCTTGTCATAATCTTCTTGCGTTTAAGATTCTTCAAGGAAATTTACTTTTAAGTTGCAAAGCTATCTTCTTCCATCTTGGCTAAAAAAAAATTGATATTTTTCATTGTAACATTCAAAAAATTCTCAAAAAGAAAAGGCTAAAATATTGATCACACTCAGAATCTGCTTGCTTTACTTATACCTTTTAGAATCATTTCGACTAAAATGAGAATTTTCCTGGGAAACTTCATCTGCAGATGGTATAGGTGGGGACCTGGTTCTTTTTGGGGCTTGAGCATCCACATTCTTGGTTGCAAATTTTTTTCTAGAATCATATGGTAAGACTGCAGGCTGGTCTTGGCGAGTCCATGAGTTGCTAAAATTGCTCGGCAACTTTACCTGGTTACCCCATACAGGGGGAGATACGGCAGTTCTGTATGACAAATCACAGCATAATCAGATAAATCTCGGGAAAATTACACATATCTTAGGATAAACTATGTGCTACTAACTAGAGCATGTATGAAATGAACAGAAAATTCTCTTAATAAAAAGCACATGACTTTAACCATTCAACCAACAATGGTAATATTCTTTATTATCATTTTACGACAATGAGCAACCAAATAAATACCAAAAGAGCTCTGCAAACTGCAATTTTGACAATTTTTTAGACAGGTATTTAGTAAGATACTATATGATTGGCATGGGATAAGGCAAAGCAAGCCTCCTAAACCCAAAATGAGCCCACATCTACGCCTGTTAAAAGGGCTTCGAACCCCATCCGGTATGGATATTCAGAGCAGGTTACCTAATAGTCCCGATATATGCCCATCCCGGTAGACGTTGTCAAGGTACTTGCATCCCAAACCTTAACCCCAACCATGGGTCCAAATGCACAATATCCCATGGGAGTCTGGTGCAGCACAAGACATGTTATAATTAAGAGATCTGCGGTTTCAACTATATACCAGATCATATAATTTTGTGTTAGCATATTATATTAGCCGAAAGTTTCACTAAGGTCTGTCTGTAATCATTTTGTGCCCTCAGGGATTATCTTGTAATTGACTCTCTTGTAAACCCTAATCTCTTGTAATTGCAGGTATTTAGTAAGATACTATATCATTGGCATGGGATAAGGCAAAGCAAGCCTCCTAAACCCAAAATGAGCCCACATCTACGCCCGTTAAAAGGGCTTCGAACCCCATCCGGTATGGATATTCAGAGCAGGTTACCTAATAGTCCCGATATATGCCCATCCCGGTAGACGTTGTCAAGGTACTTGCATCCCAAACCTTAACCCCAACCATGGGTCCAAATGCACAGTATCCCATGGGAGTCTGGTGCAGCACAAGACATGTTATAATTAAGAGATCTGCGGTTTCAACTATATACCAGATCATATAATTTTGGACCTATTATTCATGATTTTATCCCTACTTTTCATCAAAAGCGACCAACATCTACAATAGCAATGTCATAGCACATGGTGCATAATAGACAAAACCTTCAATGTTTTTATCCTCCAGATGCAGTGGAAATTGTTACTGGATTCTAACTTTCCACTTGCATTGCTTGAGTACGAGCAACATGCTTAAATTTTCCATGACATTAACAAATACACAGTAACAAGCATCTGCCCACACACACAGAAGGCACAGTTTATGTTACAAATACCTCTGAGTTTCAACAAAAGGACCAAAATTGTCAACAGAATGATAGTTTTCTGGGAAAAAAGAAGGTGGTCGTGGCCTCTGAGGTACAGCCTGCCTATGATCATTGAAGGGTGAATCTGAAGGCCTACCCAAATAAACAAAGCAAAAGTCGTTAGATACTCAAAATAAACTGCAATAGAAGACAATAAGTCTTAAAAATGCTATTTGTCATGTAGAACAAGTGATAGAACGATTAGAACAAAATTGATAGATGGGTGAAGGTGAGTTAAGAAATCTCATTTAATTCATTACTGGCCACCAAACATATGGCCTCCCTTAAATTAAGATGGAACTTAAGTATATAAAAGCCCATGAATAGGTATAATACTACTTTCAGAGAAAGTAACTCAAGCTATTGAGAAATTGTATATCCTTCATGACATTGTCCAGTGTAAAATCTTATATACTTCAGTATAAGGTCCAATGCAGCTCAACCAGAAAAGCATGTAATGGAATTCCTGAACCCCTAACATAAACTTAAACAGAGCCGACCAAAGAAAACCTAATCCCAAGATAACTTTAATAACAAATTAAACTCCTAGAAACTAAGCTCTCAGTTAGTGTTCCTTTCATGATCTTCATCACATTGCCTCCAAGGACAACATTATTAGAGATGAACGCCTATTTTCCCTTTACCATCAAACATTATTCCATATGAAGGCAGAAAACCTATGAATAAGACATTACTATGTTAATATGTGCACATAACATTTTCCGATTTAAGTAGCCAATTCCTCACAAGAATTAATGGCTTGACAGTGACTGCACAGACAAGAAGAAAAGAAGGAAAACTAAATGTTCAACATAATACACTTCAACCACTGCATAAAATCTAATAACAAAATAACTATACAGTGGACATAGAGGTATAGGTTTCACCATGTTATGTGCAATAAGAAGCAAATTTAATGCTACCGATAAATAATACTTCACACGCGATAAAATAACTTACCTCGTACTGCCCCTTCTAGTGTTTCTCACACCATCTTCACAGTAGACAGTAACTGAGGTGGTCTGGTTCTTTTCAGGTCTTGAAGTGACGTAATTTTGGCAGGGACGTAAGCTCCAGAATTTTGTGAATCAAGAAATGAAGTGACTGCAGAAGGCCTTTGATGAGTTTGGGCATCATAACCACTATAGAAAGATTTTTGCCCAGTGTCACCTGCTTTAGGAGAAGACTCAATGGGCCTAAGAGAAAATATAGCAATCAATAATACATTATAAGATATATTGATTTTTATAAAAATGTATAAAAATTAACAAATTATATGCCAACAGATGCACACAAAAAAACCCTTATGAACAAATGTTCCCAAAAGGATCAAGTTTGAGGAAAAAGGAGAGATCCCTTTAACGGATAAGTAAGACATTATAAAGCTATAAGTTTGCATGATTTGTTACCTAAGTACTGCTGAAGAAGGGTAAGCAGGACCCATTACAAATCGGCTGCTTTGAAAAGGTGATGGGGGCGAATATGTTCTCTCTGGAGCTTCAAGTTCCCTATTACAGAACAAAAAATCCATAAGCTTTCCCAACAAATCATATGAAAGCAAGAACAGCTTCGATAACATAATTACAACAATGGTTAGTGG